TTTTCATTGTTACAAATTGAACATAATTAAAGCATAGTGATTAATCACAAAAACAATATGTAATTATGTATGTGTTTTCCGATGGTCTTAGGGGACCCCTGTGAAAGGGTCGTTCGACCCCCAAAGGGGTCGTGACCCACAAGTTGAGAACCGCTGCTTTATAAAGAGGTAGGACATAAAATTGGGTTAAATTGGGCATGTCTATGTTCTAGAGATATCTAAAGATCCAGCACAAGCGCTAACATTGTTTAACTTCTTGGCCCATTTTATGAATACCTTTAAGCAAAGACAGCATGGATAGACTATTCCATCACTTTTCTGTAGAAAGTGTATTTTGTTAGCACTAACTCTAGCTGGTGTTTACTATACCACGAGACCTGAACAAAACAGCACATGCAACACCAGCCAGAGTTATAACAAAACAGAGAACACTTCCTAGGACATCGTCCACTGCTGCCCTTATTCTTAATGGCTTTCCTATGCAAGTTTAGAGCAAATCCCTCCTCTAACCAAGTAATTTGAGTCTCTGTTGTTCACAACCACAAGACTGCAACTTAAGTCATATGTGATAACTTCTTCTAAGTGTTTCCCTTTTTCCCTCTATAGAAGATAACTACTATTACTGACTGACAGATCCCCTTCGGAAATGGATTCCGTCTTTCCTGTGACAGAGAACCCATTCCTGCAGTCTGCCTGGGGTTGATACCACCCACTCAACCCCTACCCTCCTCAAAATATACACACATTCACACTCCCTTCCTGTCAACTGCCCTTATACACTCCCACCCACACACTCGCCCATGTGCCTTCTCTCAAGCATACTCTTTCCTACATATTCTCCCACAGAAACAGGACTTATGAATCATTTCCAAGCAGTGGAAATACCCATTCCACTAGCCTCAGCAATTTGTTCAGGGCTGTGTATCAGACCCCAGGTAAACCAGTAAAAGTCCTTCCCCTGACTTTCATACAGGAGAATCAGTGCCCAAACTACCAGGCCCACGGAGAAACACCTACTGAGAGACAGAGAAAACAGTCTTAAGATACTGAATACTGTACCCAAACCAACCTTGGTAATGGGGCCTAAGTCTTTCTCTTCCCTTGAACTTGAGAGTTCCTAATACACTCTCTTTCAGACCTCTAAGTCAAATAATTTAGGGCAGACCAGGGAACTCATTCCTCTACCTAGCTCTAGCAACAGAGTCTAGCAAAGGACCAAGAACTTATAGTAAGTTTACTTAATTGTGTAAATACAACGTGAACAGCTAGTCAAGATATAAAACTGCTTCTCCTTCTGACCATGACTCCACCTCAGGCCAACCCGCTCAAAGCTAACCTTTAAACTGAGGGCTGGCCCTAGCTGGTTTGGCTCAGTGGGTAGAGCATTAGTCTGAGGACTGAAGGGTTAACGTTTTGATTCCAACCAAGGGCACATGCCTGGGTTGCAGGCTCAATCCCCAGTAGGGGACATGTAGAAGGCAGCCAATCAATGATTTTCTCTCATCATTGATGTTTTTTCTCTCTCCCTCTCTCTTCCTCTCTGAAATCAATAAAAATATATAAAAATAAATAAAATAAAAAGCTCTTGGGCAAAATATGTTACTTTAAACTGAGGGCTGATCTTTAACTGAAAGGCTACTTTCTCCTTTCGCTGCCTCCTACCCCCACCTGTGTTTTTACGCCTAACTGTCTGCTTCTCCCAAGATTTTGGTTGGACTAGAGTTTGAGAACCCTTGGGAACAACATTTAAGGGAATGTGAGCACAATGCAAAATTTCTTTAAAAGCATATTGTGATGTTAAAAAAAAAAGAATACAAAATTGAAAAGTAAAGACTACAATTGCTCTTCCATTCTTCCAAAAAATCCCTCAGTACTGGCACAAAAAGAAAGAACAATCCCATTGTTCCAAGTTTTAGAAGCTAACATATAGTCCCATCAAAAATGTAATTTTCTGATATGAGCCAAACATACACTCACACAATTCATTGATACTTCCCATAATTAAATTCATTTGTCTCTTAATTATTGTCTGTTTTTCTCCACTAAACACTATGAAAGGAGAAACTGGATGGGTCTTAATAATAGCACCTAGCATATGGCAGGTGTGCTATAATAGCTTAAGAATGAATGAAAAATACCTACCCCCTCAATTATTCATTCTATTACCACTGACTGAGAACCCATTACCTGTATAGCACTCTACTGGGCAATACAGAAGCTATAAAGATCAGATATAAACTTAGTCTGTCAAAGAACATGGTTCTTAGCCTCTTTGTGGCCATGGACTCTTTTTGACTTTCTGATGAAAATATGGGCATACTATCTAGAAAAATAATAAGTAGACTAAGATTTTGTATTAAATTTCAAGACGTCACAAGGTAAGTATTACAGATCTAGTAAAAAAATTAAGACAATATACATACATATACAAAAGTACTGTGGTCTTTTATTTGTTGACTAGAGGCCCGGTGCACAAAAATTTGTGTACTGGGGGGTGGAGGGGGGCCCTCAGCCCAGCCTGTGCCCTTTCGCAGTCTGGGACCCCTCAGGGGTGACCACTTGCTGGCTTAGGCCTGCTCCCCAGGGGATTGGGCCTAAAATGGCAATCAGCCATCCCTCTGGCAGCCCGGCAGCCCTTGGGGGATGTCCA